CGTCTGGCAATGCGTGCGCGGCATTCAACACGCGCTCGCCAGTTCCCGTCGGCAACCGCCATCGCGGCCGCATCAGCTGTACCAAACCGGCTGGCCGGTGTGACTTCGGCCCCCAGTTGTGCCAGCTTTGCTTCTTATGTTGTGGGAGGGCGGGTGGGACTGGGCATGCCATGCTTGACTCGCTCGAGCTGGCTAGCTTGACTCCTACTCCTACTCCTCCTCCCCCCCCCCCCCTCCCCCTCCCCCTCCCTCTCCCCCTCCCCCCCCTCTCCTCCCTCCTCCTCCTCCTCCTCCTCCTCCTCCTCCTCCTCCTCCTCCTCCTCCTCCTCCTCCTCCTCCTCCTCCTCCTCGCGCCGCTCCTCCTCCTCCTCCTCCTCCTCCTCCTCCTCCTCCTCGGCCGTCCTCCTCCGCCATCCTCCTCCTCCCACCCTCCTCCTCCTCCTCCTCCTCCTCCTCCTCTCCTCCTCCGCCCTCCCCTCCTCCTCCTCCTCCTCCTCCTCCTCCCCGCCTCTTCCTCCTCCTCCTCCTCCTCCTCCTCCTCCTCCTCCTCCTCCGCCTCCTCCTCCTCCTCCTCCTCCTCCTCCTCCGCCTCCTCCTCCTCCTCCTCCTCCTACGCCTCCTCCACCTCCTCCTCCTCCTCCTCCTCCTCCTCCTCCTCTGCCGCCCGCCCAAGTGTGCCGCATGGATGCGCTCCTGGCCCCCCTGGACCTGCGACGACCCTGTGCCTCGGGGCCTCGGGGACAGAACCTGTCGACGCGCTCCCTGGGATCGGCTCTCTTTCGCGAGCTGCCTTCCGACGGCCCGGCGGCCCGGAAAACCCAGGAGGCCGAACATGAAGAGGGAGGAGTCGAGGACCTGGAGGTCTGGCCCTTCCTCCCTCCCTCCCTCCCAGCCCCGTGCTCTGCGCGCGCGCCCGCCCCGCGGGCGGTTGAAGGGAAACGACAAGAGGGGAAGGCTGGCTCAGGGGGGGCGCAGCATCGACAGGCCTCCGGTGCCAGAACCGCACGCATGCTGGGGCCGAATGGGTCACCAAGGCTAAGACGCAGGCAGAATCGAGTCAAAGTCGGACCGATACGAATCGGAAATACATGACAGGGGAGGATGGCTGGCTCAAGGGGGGCAGCATCGACAAGCTCTCGGTGCCGAAACCGCACATAAGCTGAGGCAGAATGGGGCACTCGGGCTTAGACGCAGGCAGAATCGAGACCAAATCGGACCGATATAAACCAGAAATCTCTGAGAATCGGCGGGTTTGAAGAATGCGTCGGGCGCCGCGGCCGTTTCAGAGCTTTCCAGAACGCTCTGAGAGCGTTCCGGAACGCTCTGGCACGAATCTATCTCGCTTCTAGGCCCGTCCGACAAGCCCCGATTGAGACTGGTCGCGTGTTGCGAAAAGGCCGGTCAGGTGTTGCAGGAAAGCTGGTCTGCTTGGGAAAAGGCCAATTCTGCGCTGCGATAAGCCAGCCGCCGCTCTGCGGGGGACGCTCGCTGTGAGCGGACCAGAGGCACCCATGTTGTGAAAAGGCAGCTCTGATTGATCGAAACATCCGAACACAATTCCGATGGCCTGATCTTCTCAGCGCGCCCCGGCAATCCCGACCACTTCCCTAAGGACGGCTTTTCATCTGGAGTCATTTTTGAAGATCCGGGGGCCCAGCGAGGGTCCCCAGAGGCCGAACACGGCCTAGAACCTCTCGTCGTATTTTTCTTCGCGACGCCAGCATGTCTGGGACCTGGTCTCTGGGCCGATGTCCCCCCCCGGGCCACTCCTGGCAATCGCTCGGACGCCCATTCCCATGGACTGTTGAGTGTCGTGCGCGTTTCTCTTCCCAAGATGATCCAAGATGCTCCAACGATGGTCCAGATGTTCTGGCGCTGGCCTGTCCGAAAACAAGTTACACGTCCGAACACATGTCAAGAGTCGGCGGCGCGATGGGGGGGAGTGAGAAGGGGCAGGCCTTCTCAGGGGGCGGCAAGGTTTCTCAAGAGCCGTCTGTCTTCGGATAATGACTCGAACGCGTCACAGGAGGCTGGAGGCCTTCCGAGCTTTCTGAGAAGGCCCGCCGCCCCTCACTTACCCCCCCCCCAGCTCGGCGCCGAAAGAGTCCTCGGGGATCTGCTGACCCAAGTCATTCCGAACCCGTGTCCGTCGGGGTTTGCCTGATCCTGCAAGATCGTGCAGGATCCTGCAAGATCCTGCGTGCTAGCCCGGGTTTAATGCACCCCTGGCTCTGCAGGATCGTGCAAGATCCAGCGCTCTGGCCGACCCCCGTTTGCATTGTGCCTCGTCTCAATCGGCCACGCGCATGAGTGACCCTGGGTAATAGGAGGGCCCCGGTGGGCCCGCACCAAAGGTCACTCCGGCGAAGGGCCACTCTTGCGTGTAGTCGACTCAGGTCTCCCGAAGCCCCCCGCTGTCGGCGCCCCCGGGCGGGGAGGAGGGTCGCGCACCCCACGTCTCTGGAGGCGGCGCTGGGGCATCCCTGTGGCTCAGGGACACCTCGGGGGGGCGCGCGTGGGCTTCTCTTCCCGGCGGGTGACGGCGTCGGTCTCGGCAAAATGGCAGCACGTGGGCAAGATCTCATCGTCACTCGCGCATGCTGATGATGATGCTGCTGCTGATGATGACGACGACTAGGAGAAGGATGATGATGACGATGACGATGATGATGACGACGACGATGATGATGAACATGAACATCAACATGATAATGAACATGATGATTGAGGATGGTGATGATGATGCTTATATTGATGCTCCTGTCGATGCTTATGCTGACGATGACGACGATGGTGATGCCGAGGATGCTGAAGGTGATGCCGATTATGATGATGATGTTGATGATGCTGATGATGATGATGATGATGATGGTGATACTGATGATGCTGATGATGATGCTGCTGATGATGAAGATTGTTGTGAACTTCTCTCGCCCGTTCCACGTCCGTTTCAGCACTCCTGCCGCAAACGTCAACCTAACAAAAAGACACCGACGGGAGCACACGCCCCGACCCCGCGGGGACGGCCGACATGATGAGATGAGGGTGATGATGACGGCTGTGTGGTGTGGGTGATGTACACCCACACGTACCTTCGGAGAAACGCCAATCTCGAACGCGGAGGACTCGAAATGGACTGCTGGGGCCGCCAACAACATGACGCGACACAATATGAAGTTTGACGTGAGACTCCGCTGCAACCATCCCATGAGAACTGGGACGGCCACATTGAGGGACGGCCCCTCAAAGAGCGTGCGCAGACCCGACTTCTGGCGAACTCGAGTCTTGCGTTTCCTATGTGTATACATATGTGTATGTGACACATCAATACACATGTTTCAACATGTGTGTAACTATCTAGGTATGTACATTTGTATATTATACGCACGTGTATACGTATGCATGTATGTATGTGTATACAAATATATAGATCAACGGCTGCCCCCTAATCTCATACCTTTCGCTGCTTCTGCCACTCATCCCTCCGCTTCCTCTCATGCTTCTTCTCCATAGAAGTCCTCTCTCTCTCTCTCCAGCTTTGCACATCGACTGGCACTTGAGAAACGCTGCTTTCTAACTGTTCCAACTTTTCCCTGAGACTGGCACTTGAACAACGACAACGTCGTGTACCCAACTTGCCCAAATTTTCTCAAGGATTTGACAATTGAGAAACGATGTGTTTTCCGACTGGTAAGCTTTCCACAACTACTTACCCTTGGCAAACGCTGTTTTTCCAAATTTTGTCAGACACGACCCAACGGTGTAGCTTTAAAATGAAGCGGGAAGCTCGAAACACACAGTTGTTCTTTGGTCTCTGGGAAAAGCTGGAAAAAGCTGGGATACGCATATCTTTGCAAGTGCCAGTCTTTGGGGAAAACTGGATCAGCTGGAAAACTGGATCAGCTGGAAAACACAACGAATTTCAACGGTCAGACTCTGGGACAAATTGGAAACACATTGTTTCTCAATAGCCGATATTTGGTCCTTTTTGCTTATCTTTTTGTTGTTGCTCCTGTTATCCTCCCTCTCCTCCTGAATCTGTGATCTGCTCCGTTTGAATATGATCAAGATCCCATCCACATTCAACCGGAATCCTCTGGATCTGAGATCTGCTCCATGATCCATTGAAATCCGACCAAAGTCTTAAACTTGAATCGGAATTCTTTGAATCTGAGATCTGCTCCGTCTCTATTGCAATTCGATTACAATCCAGTTCGAATCCTCTTTAAAAGCCCACTGGACCTAGAATCTGCTCCGTTACTATTGAATCCTTCTGGAACCCGACTCAAACTCATTAGGAATCCTTTGAATATGGGGTCTGCTCCATTTGTATTAAAATGTGCTCAGACCGATCCGAATTTAGACCGCTCCGAATGTAATAAGAATGTTCTTGATATGGGATCTCTTCCTTTTCATTTGAAACCGTATTAGAATGTGTTTAAAATGTAATAGGAATCTCCTGTACCTAAGGCCCTATTCACATTCAATAGAAATGTTCGGGATCTGGCATCTGCTCCGTTTCTATTGGCACCTGATGAGAATCCGATCCAAATTCAATCGAAATCCTTTGGATCTGGGATCTGCTCTTTTCACATTAAAACCAAATCATAATCGTACTCACATTCAATCGGGATTATTCGGATCTGGGATCTGCTCCGTTCCTACTGAAGACAACTTGACTCCAACTGACATGCAATAGGAATCCTCTGGATCTGGGAAAGGCTTAGATCCAACTGAAATCCTTCTAGAACCCTATTCAACTCTGTAGAAATCTTTTGGATATGGGATCATATCCATTTCGATTGACGTCTGCTCAGAAGCTCATCCAGATTCAATATGAAACCTCTGGATCTGGGATCCCTTCCTCTTCCCATTGAAATCGCATCAACATCCGAATCGAATCAAATAGGAATCCCCTGGATCTGGGATCTGCCCTGTTCTAACGAAACTATACTCGAATACTATTCGAAATCAATCGGGGTTACTCCTCCTAATTATCCTCCTCCGTCTCCTCCTTGTTTATCTCCCTCTTCCTCATCAAGAGAAATATGAACAGCGGCAGCAGCAGCAGCAGGAACAGGATATACATACACGAAAGCGGAAGGCATCGAGCAGAAGCTTCAAAGGTATGGTACTGGAGGAAACGAGCATGTATATGTATGTATGTGACTGTGTATGTGTGTGTACGTGTGTGTATGCGGGTGTGGCTCTGTGCGTGTGCTTTCGCAGTGAGGGGAAGCGTTCCCACATACCTGGCCAGAAAATATCATGCTATAGAGACCTGGGGAGTCCTCCGCACTATTGCAATACTCCTCTAAAGACGAAGCTGTTGAACTGCAGCAGCTGCCCGCCGGCCCATCGAAATTGTGACTACACTGCACGGTGAGGAACACACGCAACGTGAGAGCCAGTGCGGCCCGTCGGAGACCTGGTGCGCCAGGCGCACCGCAAGCAGAAGGTGAAAATCGAGTGAGCGAACATCGTGATGCTGCCCCCCCCACGCCGCCGCACTGGCTGCCGAACAGACCCACACCGCCGCGCCGCAAGGCGAAGGTTTTGTGGACTACCAAAAGGTACCGATACCACTACTCCACGGGCCTCTGTCGGGGTGCGTTCTGGCTAGAATTTCGAGGCGAATCCAACGGTGGCGACGGGGGCCTCCCAGGACGCCCAAACAGACGAAAACGGACGGAGGGGGTAGCGGTATGGGTACCTTTTCCTCCTCTGAGTTTTGGGCCGCCGCACCCACCATCTCCATATCCGCAGCCTCCGCCAACTGATGCTGGGCTTGTTTTCCACCACCACCACTATAAGATGGAGGGGGAAAAAGAGGTGGAGGACGAGGAGGATGAGGAGGAGAACGAAGAGGAGGAGAGGAGGAGGATGAGAAGGAGGAAGATCCCCTCCCCCCAACTTATGGTGGTAGTGGTGATGGAAAACACGTTTATCAAACTGAACTGCATCCGGTCCTTGCCCGCCCTCGCCACTGCGGCGGCGGCTGGCCGGTGTAACGGGGGCCTCGCGTCGCCCAGTGAGACACGGGCGGCTCTCGCCAGGTTCTGCTTCTCCTCCTCCTCCTCCTCCTCCTCCTCCTCCTCCTCCTCCTCCTCCTCCTCCTCCTCCTCCCCCTCCTCGGTCTTCTCTCGAAGCCTGCGGGTGGGAGGGAGCTGAGCCTGGCGTAAGCGCCGCGGTGCCTGCGGCGGGTGCCGCCAGAGCCTGGCCGGACGCACAGCGCCGCCTGCGGGCGCCGCGGCGCTGCCGCCACCCGCCAGTGGACTGCAGAGAGGCCTCGTCGCGAGCGGGCGCCCAGTCCGCGCCGGCAGCGCCTGCTTTCCGGCCGCCAGACGCAACGTGCATGCCAGCAGCCGTGCCCGCGTCGGCGGTCGTGCTGGAGGCGGCTCCTAGGGCCTGCCTCGAGGCGGGCGTGCAGTGCAGCCGCCCGCACCCCGCAGGCGTCGGCTTCGCGGTGGAAATCTGTGACCTGATTGGTACATGCTCCGCATAGCGTGGGTCCGGCGGCTCCCGCCTCCCCCCCCTCTCTTCCCGTGGGACGGGGCCCTACGGACCTCGCAGCTTCGATGGCAGCCCAAGGCCCGAAGGCATACTCCTGCCGGCGCGGCGCACCCCGCAAGGTGACCCGCAAGGCCGCCCTGAACTGTGCTGCTGTCAGTGTACACGACGATTGCCACGCCAGCCGCAGCTGCCGCCCGCATGAGGTGCAGGGCTGCCTCGCGCTCTTCGGGGGCGGCCAAGAGGGGGGCGTCCAAGAGAGGGGGGTGCAAATCATGGCTGGCGGCATGTTCGCGGCCCAGGGGGGGACTCAGGGATGTACTGAAACAAGAAGAGGCGCCACGAAATCTGAGGAAATATCATGGCCCACGCCATGATATCCACCCCCCTAGTCATCACCCCCCTCTTTGCCGCCCCCGAGCTCTGCACAATCTGACGTGCCGCCAGGGATGGACAACTCGCTTGCGACGGTCGCGACGCCAGCGAGGATGCTGATAGCGATGGCCCACGCCGCCCGCATGAGGTGCAGGGTTGCCTCGCGCTCTGCACAATCTGACGTGCCGTCTGGGATGGACAACTCGCCTGCGACGGTCGCGACCCCGGCGAGCATGCTGATCCGCGACGGCCCACGCCGCCCGCTCGAAGCGCTCGCTCTGGCCGGCCATGCTGCCGCCTGTAAAGACAAGAGGTACTACTCTTTGGAAGGCCCGCAGCCCAAGAATTCTGGTCGCTCCTGTGCGCCCAAGGAATTTGCCGCGTTCTTCGCGTACGGCTCTTTACGCACATGTTTTACACGGCCGAACTTGTCTGACGTGCTTCCTTGATTCGATTCCTCTGTGTGCACTGGCTTTAACAACATATAATTTGCGCGGGCAATATTCTTATGTGATGTTTCGATACGATCGTTAAAACTCCTTCCAGAATGGCGCTCCCGCTGCAGCGTGGGCACTATTTCCGCTTTCCCAGTCGTTCCACGACAGCGCCCCCGCT